TTTTTTTTTTTTTTTTTTTTTTTTTTTTTCTCACCAGTTCCTAGCCCAGGACCTTGTAGGGGAGGAAAATGTATGTTTAGCAGCCGACCTGTGAATTAAAGCGACAAGAATCAGATTCACAGAAGAGGCCTGTTAACATCAAGATGTTAACATCTTGATTTTCACATGCGTGGAGGCTTTCGGGCTCCAGGAGTGGTCAGGCTGGAAAGCTTCGATACCAGTTTTATGAAGCACAACAAGTTGTAGTAAAACAATGAGTCAAAGTGGGGACTGCGCTTCCAGGGGTGGTAAACTGTGGGAAAGTAAATACGTGGGTGGAAAAAATGGAAAAGGAAGTTGGGAATTGGAGTCCTGCTGTTAGGTGGGTGGGAGGAGGTGGAGAACTTTTCCTGGATCTATATTTTTCTCAGTTCTCTTCAGCCCTAAATAATCTCATAACCAACTGGCATATTTGAGCTGGCATGTTTTGCCTTCACACTAAAGCTCAGAAGAGCTTTTGAATTAATGAATGGACATTAAACATTACTAAAGACAATTGACCAACTCAGAGGCTTTTGCTTTATTCCCCTCTTTATTGGTACATTTTTGTATGCCTTTTACTTATTAAAATATTACTGTCTTTTGAAGTCAGCTTTATTTACCTTTCACTGAACTTGAAAGGAAAATTTTCAGAGTAACAAAACATTATCAGGTAGGAGTAATAAGCACGGTTCAATATTAATGTGTTCTTTCTCGTTGAGATTCCAAAACTGAGAGTTTATTATAGTAGGGGATATAAAAATACTTTGACATAGTCTCTGGAAGCCTCTGCAGAAAATGGTAGAATCGGGCCAGGGGTTTAGCTTAGTGGCGATGCCACCTGCCTCACAAGCATGAGGACTCGAGTTCAATCCCCAGTATCAAAACATCAAAAAGCGAAAAAACAAAAACCCAAGGAAAATGGCAGAACAGAGAATAACACATCTGGATTCAGTTCCCTGGCTGAAGCGAAGTTCTTTTGCCTGGTTTGTAGATGTCATCGGTCCATCGAGCTGCCTTGTTTCGAGCAATGCATAGAGGCTAACACGACCAAAGATCCAGTCCTTGTTTTTTGAACGAAAAGTCATAGTAGTGTTGTTCAAACGCCAGTTACAAATATTCAGTATAAGGACCTTGTTTCATTTGTTTTCTTTCTCTCCCAGGAAACCAGTGGGGAAACAATGAAACTGGCCAGGCAGCCCTTGGGTGTTGACAGTGTAACTAACTGAAGGGCGCTGTCTGAGACACTGGCTTTAGCAGAACTGGTTTTGAACTGATTACTGGGGAACCATGAAAGTTACCTGTGCATTGATAAAGACTGTGGAAATCCATCATTCACACAAGCAAACCACAGAACCAGACCACTGAAACTGGCAATCTAAAGGGCTTTGAGTGAACCAAAGGGGTGGTGGAATAATTTTAAATTAATAGGACTAGAGGGTTTCGATCAAGGTGCCAGGTGGTGCCCCGTCTGGCTTGCAGATGGCCGTCTTCTCACTGTGTCTTCATATGGCCTTTCTGCTATGCAGGCACGCGGAGGGCTCCCCTGACTTCCTGTTCTTTGAGGGACAATATGAGGGCCCCATCTCCAAATTCCTTCACGTTAGGACGGTGGAGCTGCAGCAGGAGAATTTTGCAGAAAATTTAGTATGGAGTGGGTAGAAAAATGTCTCGGTTGTGAAAGGGAAGGTGTTTCCATGTGATTTTTGTTTCTTTAACAGAGTGGGTGGTCTACTGATGTTCCACTAGGAGAAAAGGAAACAGCCTATGAGGTGGGGAATAATAAATTTTGGGGTCCGCTGACTTGTAGAGTACAGCTGAAGCAGTTCCAATGAAGTCCCTTCGGATGGCTAAAAAGGGCATGGATAGAACAAACGTCCAGTTACTGCGTAGGAGAAGAACAAACTTATTTTTCCTCTACTTTCTTATATTTACCTGGGCCCTTCAAATGAACCCGATGAGGAGAGATTCCTGAGGGAACAAAGTTTATGTCTTATGCATGTGGAAGCCATGAAGACTCCTTGGACGCTGAGAATGAAAGCTATTATCTTTAACTTCGTGAGGAAAAGGAAAGGGGGAGAAAAGCGTTCTTAGGGGAGAACGAACAGGTTTCTTTAGGAACGACAAATAGGATTCTGACAGGATAAATGGGAGATAAGAAAGTCTGTGGGAATTTTTGTGCACACGTGTGTGAGCGGTCCGTGCTTTCCGAGACCCTAATGTCGTACTCCTTGGAGAAAGGATGTGTAGTTGGTTCATTCCCATTCTGCTTTGGGCAGTAGATCTCCCCCCAGGAGGAATCCACGGCAGTCTACTTCCCAGATGGTTCTAGAGTCAGATGAGGAAAACTCTGAGAAGGCTTTCATTCTGTGACCCTTTCCTCCTGTCTCTCTCTCTCCACTTCCTTCCTGTTTTTCTTCCTCTTTCTTTCTCTCGAGTCTGTTGCATCTCAGAGTCTTCCATTTAAAATAATCTCCGAATTAAAGTTGCACACACTTCGAGGCTGGCATATCCCATGCTTCTGCACTTGGAAGGAACAGCACACCACCCCCATTCGTGTGCTTTTGGGCCTTACCTGTGTGCCTCACAGCTTCTGCAAGTGCCCAGTGTGTATAAACACCCTTGACTCTCAGTCCTCCGGTGAGACTAAACTACGATGAGAGAACAAACCAAAAGGAACGGGCCAAGAGTACAGCAAGGTGTTGAGCACCGGGGTTTGGGAGACAGCGGCCTCCAGAAACTGTCAGAGAGCTCGAAAAGGCCGAGTTCTTTGGGGCACCTCTGGGGAGATGGGTGAGGGGTGGAGGCCGTCATCTATGCCCGGTTCTTAGGCAAATGTCCTGCAGGAATCCACTTCACTCCTGTGCTACTGTCACCGTCCAGAGCAGGTTGTGCGAATGAGTCCTTTTCTTTCTCAAAAAGACCTGCTTTGCTAAGTTAAGGTGCCTGCTTGGGAGAAGAAACCGGTCTCACCAGCCCATTGGCCTCTGCCTGAGGCCAGGAGCAGCAAAGGTACTGGCCAGCTGGCATTTCTGACTGGAAGAGGCTGTCAGCCTCCAAGCTGGTGGAAAAGAAAAGCTGACACAAGCCTGGGCCGACAGTGGTCCCCATGGCCCCACAGCAGGCTGAGCAAGGCTGGCCGAGGAAGACAGGGAGGCCCTGACTTCCGGGTCCGCAGTTGTGGAAGAATGGCTAATGATTAATGGGAATGTGGCCCGCTGGCTTGGGCACTCACACCTCCCTGACCTCTGCATTTAGAGCCCTGCCTAGGCCCTGACACAGCTCTTGGGAGGAACTTCCTGTCACTTGGTGAGGAGTGATCAGGTTCCTTGGGCAGCCAGACAGAATCCATTCCTGTGTTTGTGCGGAGACAGGATAGCTGCCAAAGAGCCTGTCAGGAGCTGAAAACCTCTGAAGCCCTAAAGGGGACATTTTTCCTGCCTGAGGTAAGGACTACAGCGTGGCTCTCCCGTGAGGGCTCTTCCGTGAGGAATGTCTGTCTGTCGGTCAGACGGGCTTCTCCTCAGTGGGCCTGAAGCCCTCACCGGCCATCTGCTGGGTCTCCCGTGAAGATACTGGATGATAGTTTTTTTTGTTGTCGTTTTGTTTTCCAGCTTCCAGAGTTAAAAATTAAGTGAGGGGCTGCACTCTGAGCGCAGAGATTTCAGACGATTTTAGGAAGCAAGTGTCTCATACAGAGCTGTGGCTGTCAGGTGTGAAGCCGGGACTCTGTGGGTCTCAGGAGTCATGTGCTGGGCACCCACTTCAAGTCAGGTCACTCCTTGGGTGGCCGTGAATGCCATTTCTCCCCCTCGCAAGAAGCAGAGTCTCCTAGGGTCTCTAAACTTTCTAAGAAGCCGGGCTGAAAGTAGGGCAGGCTGGGCCTGGCTAAGACCCAGATGGAACCGAGCCCGGCCTTGGAACCTCCAGTCCTCTGTTCTGTTCTGGGTCACGTTTCTTGCTGCTGCCTAAAACAGGACATTTTAGGAATACTTTTGGAAGTGACAGTATCAGAGTACTCCCAGGGACCAGAAAGAGGGATGGGCTGAGATCTGCGTCAGGATCTCCCCCTTGGTGGGTGTTCTCAGCTTTTCTGGGTGTTTGTGCCTTGTCAGGCCAGCAAGAAATGGGGTGGGGTGCTACATCTAGCCCATTTAATATGACTTAATAAGGGTAAAGAGTTTGAGTGCAGATTCTCAAAGAGGAGTAGGACTCACCGAGCCTTCCCTGACATGAATGAGAAGCTGGGTTTCAGGTCTGGGTCCCACTGCCCCTTGGAGCTATTCATTGGCCATCCCTGGCTCTTGTCCTCATTTAATTATAAAGCATTGCGTCAGTTACACCTGAAATCAGCTTTGTGACAATGGCCCAGGCACACACACTCTTGAAACGCTGTGTCCTCACAAGCCCTGTCTGTAGTTCCGGGACTTGCAGCCAGCTCCTATACTACCTGCTAGGGTCCTACCTACTAGACTCAAGGACAGCCGTGATTTGGGACAGAGAGAGTGAGAATCAACTGCAGGGGAGAAAGCTGCTGAGCGAGTTCCTGAGTAAGAAAGAGAGCTTCCTTACTAAGCTGTCTATTGCTAGCCCGCAGCCCGACCCCATGCTGTTCTTTTCCCCATGGGCCCAGCAGGCTCCGTGGTTAGTCCAGCTTCCTTCTCAGCTGTGAGCCTGCCATTCCCTGGGACTGGCGGAGCAGTGAACCTGTGTAGTTGTGTTCACCGAGCCCTGAAGTTAGTAAATGATGTATTTAACGCTTCGTCACTCTGGGTGGCGGATCAGTTGGACACCTGGCTTCCCGCTGGGCCGTGTGGGCCGGCTTCTGCTGCGTCTGGCAGATTACACGCCCAGCGTCCTTCCATGACATCGGGGAACAAAAGGGGAGACGCGTTCCTTCCCGGGAGCCGCAACACCCGCTAGGCGTCCGCCGTGAGACAGAGTCAGGGCCAAGGTCTCTGCCCTCCACACCCCATGAGCTTTGGTTTGATCCAGAGACTCGCAGACCGGCACAGGCGAGGCACTTTGGGCCGCTTCGGGTGCCGTTTCCGACCCACCGTTCTGCGCTGGGGGTCAGCTATGGGGTGGTCCCTCTAGACCCTGGACCGGTGTAGCCACACATTACAAAATCCTGCACAGGGATTCCCATCCCAGTCCCGGAGGCGAGCCGGTCACTCCCGTTCTGGAGGGAGGGGCGGGGTGCATTCCGGCAGCTGAGGGAGCCACAGCTGGAGCCAGAAGAACCCAGGACTCTGTGCGGCTCGCAAGGCAGGGGCGCTGCCTTTGCAGTCGGCCCTCAGAGTGGTCAGCAAACAGGCGACCCCCCCAAAGCGCCCCGCTGGACCCCAATGCTGGTGAGTGCCTGGGGAAAGGAAAAAGCAGAGAGAGTGCAGGGTGCGCCTGAGGGTTAGCAAAGAAAGAAGGGGACTTGCAGGAGGGCCAAGAAGCCCAAGGCAGAAATCTCCAGTGCCTGATGGGGCCTTACTCGGCTCCCCACAACCTCTGATCTCAGCTCTCCCACTTGCTCACCCCTCCTCTGCCCTTTGCAGTTCCTCAATCATTCCAGCCATGGTCCCACCCCAGGGCCTTTGCACCTGCTCTGTCCTCTGCAGGGGAAGCTTTTCCAGTAGATGCACACATAGCTGCCGCCTCATTCACCCTCGGGGGGCCTTTCCCCAGCCACATGCACGCCCCCTCTTGCCTCCTCCTATTAGGCTGCCTAGTCTCTTTCTCCATTTGGTCCCCATCTTCCCCTGAGGGGACGGCAGCACATTTTTCTCAGTGACTGGAAGGACAGGCAGAGCCCTCGCTTCACCTCTTGGCCTGCAGTTCGGAAGTTGGGCTGTGCCATCCCCCTTTGTGTCTTTTGTTCCGAGACCCACACACCCTGCGGCGGTCTAGGGTGGGGTCACAACGCATCCTCCCCGAGCTGCCCAGCAGATCTGGGGGGCAGAGGAGGCGCCGGTGGAGGGTGTCACTGGCTGCTCTGTGTTCCAGGGTGAGGACGGTCATGCGGAGATGGAGGGCAGCGGGCGTGGCGTCCTGGCCGTGCTGGGCATCCTGGCTGCGCTGACAGGTAGGGCTGCGGGCAGCCTCTCTGCGCTCCTCTCCTCCGCAGGAGGGGCTCCCCTCACCCGCCCTCCCTTCCACTTCTTGCTGCAGCAGCTCCACTCCAGGAAAGGCCACCTGCTGCTGTGGCGGTCTCTCCCGCCCGCTTCTCCTGCGTTCTCACCTCCACGGTCTCCCATGCAGGCCCAGTCTTGACACCGCTTCCTCTCTCAAGCCCACCTGATGGCCGGGGGGCTGACGGGGCGAACGGCGCTTCCCTGTTCCTCACCACAGCCAGGCTCTTCCCTCCCTTAGACGCTGCCGGCCACCTGGGAGCGGAGGGGCCGGATGCGCAGCTGTGGTTTGACAAGGTCTGGACTAAATGCCACTGCCTTGGGTGTGGGCCTGGTCTTCTTTCCTCCAGGGGATTGTCACCTCCGCCTTCCCTCCCGCCTGGAACTGAGGGCTGAGGAGCAGCACTTGCTGGAAACGCACAGCCACGAGGCCCAGTTTGGTGACTGCTAACGCTGCACCATCTCCACGCTGTGCTTTGCGTGGGGAGCCCAGACTGTGGGCTTGAAAACTCCTGCCGTGACACTGCTGGAAGGGACGAAAGGGAGTCCACAGAATAGGACCGAGCAGCATGGGCTGTGTGCAGGGAGGACCCCTTGGGTGTTGGGCCCACGGCGGTGGGGGTCCAGGGCTCCCGCTCAAGTGCGTTTGGAGGTCCCCGCCCAGCAGCGTGAGGTGCACAGCCCTTCACGGGCGCTGTACTCAGAGACACTGTAGAGTGCAGAGGACCAGGCCTTGGAGCGGGTGCTGGAGACTTCACCACAGGCCTCTGTCGCCCACGGCGGCGGGAAGGTCTTCACCGGTTCAGCTGCTATGCTGGAGCGGAGCTGGAAGTGCTGATCGGAGGTGGGAAGGTTCTGCTTTGGGGCCTGGTGGTGCCTGCTCCAGGGGCGCAGGTTCCAGAGCCCCCAGAGAGGCGGACGCAGGACAAGCTCTGTGGTCCTCTTGGACAGCCTTGGGTGCAGCTGCATTCGTGTGAGACTCCGCTCCGATGCCTGGGTGCAGTGTTCGTGGGCGTCCACCGGGCTCCCCAGACTCTCCTCTGCACCTGAGCCACTGCAGGAAATATTCGCTGAGCACCTGTTTTGTGGCCCTTAGCTGAGGAATAGGATGCAGGGCCAAGCAAAGCCAGGCAAAGTCCTTGTTAACATGGGGCCTAGGGCCCTTGTAGGGGAGACAGGCACTGATTGAGGAGAAAAGCAAGTATAAATCTCCATTGTGACATTGGCTTCAAAGAAGCACCACTGCTCTGAGAGTAGTTCCGGGGTACTTTAGCCTAAAGGGGGTGATCTGGGAAAGTTTCTCTGAGGAGAAGACAGCTGGGCCAGGAGCTGAGAAGTAGGTGCTACTGGTGTTCCAGGCTGCATGTGGAAAGTCCCTGGGGCCAGAAAGACTTGATGAGTTTGATAAATTTTCAGAAGGGGTCTAGCGGCCTGGGGGTGGGGTTGGAGAAAAGTACAGCAGCTCTCTCTGCTCACCACAGCTTTCTCTCCCTGGTTCCTTCCTGAGTGTGAATCTACTTCTCCAACCCCGCGTTTCCATTTGCTACAGTGTTAAGGACATGGCGAAGGTTGAGGGGTCTACAGGCATGGCCAGGGAGGCTGGGGACAAAGAAAGTGGGAGAACAGAAGATTTCAGAGTGGACCTTCATAACAGTGCCAGGGAGAGGCCTGGGAACTACTTCGGGGAGCTATAAAGAGGCCATTGCAGAAGAAAGCTTATGTTTAGATCAATTTTTGCAGGATTGACATGGGCATCACGGACACTGGCAAGTGTGCTGCCCCATGACTGCTGTAAGTTTGAGGTTGTTGGGATGGATGAGAGGAAGAAAAGAGGTCCTCTCCATCTTGGGTGGCCACTGGTCATTTCCTCAGAGATGCCTGGTAGGGCAGGAGAAGAGGTCAAGAGGACCAGGCTGCACAAGTCGATTTGGGATTTGGAGAAAGTTGATAGGAAAAAGAACCTTGCAAGTGGATAAACTCCTACACCGAGCCTCACGGACAGCAGGTGCTAGGTCCTGGTGTCGAGTGACAGCCGCAGCAGGTGGCCACACAGAGGTTCCAGGGCAGGGGAGACACTGAACCTTCCAAGTCCTCTGCTACCAACTTGCCTCCGCTCCACAAATAAAAGGGAAGGGGAGGTCCTGCGTAGGTATGTGACTGATTAAAAGTCTTATCTACGATTTTCTCCTGTTTGCTCTGTGAAGGGCAGGGTCATGCATCATCGACACTGATAAGACAAGAGAGGAACAAGGTGCCAGGACCAGAAAAGCAGCTCTGAGTCACAGGGCAGAGCTGGAGGGTGGTTACTGAGGGAGGGTTCTAGCATGGGTTGCAAGTACTAGGCTCAGGGGAATTTGGTTTCTTCTTTTACTTTAAAGTTGGAGTCAGGGTCCAGGAGTTTCCACTGGGTACAGCCCCCTCTCACCTGCTCTGGGTCCTTGCTGGCAAGTGCAGCCTGAGATGCCTGGCCTTGGGGTGAACTGATCGCACCACTTCACCCACGGCCAGAAGCTTTTCCAGTTTCCCATTTGCCCTCCCCCACCAGGCCCAGGTGTGGGGACTAGGGCTCAGCTTGCCAGTCTCTCCTAGGGTGTAGAGCTATGCCTTTTCTCTCTCTTCTTAAAATTAATTCAGACTCAGAAAGGGCCAGGTTGACTGTCTGGGGCTCCCCGATGAGTCACCTGGACTTTCCTTCTTGAGAATTTTGTTTCTATACTTGAGGACCAAAGGGATTCTGGATCAGAGAGATGCACCCCAGCCAGGGATGGAATCCAATCAGAGTTGTGGTTTTGAGAGGCACACTTTCTCTCTTCTTTTTCTGTCACACTCTGGGATAAAACCAAGATGAGTGTGATCGTGTTCACTCAGACAGTGGGTCAGCTCAGTGCATTCAGCTCTGTCCTTAGCTGTGCCTCTTCTGAGCCAGGGCCTCCATTTGGCGTCCTCGGGGTGGTTCTGTGTGCAGCGGGCCCTGTTCTGGACGCATGCGTACTGTTGCTCTGCTTCCGGTTCCTGGGGAGGCAGTTCCGGTTTGCAGTGCATTCTGGGTGTTTGCCAGCCTGCCTTTCCACAGGCACCTCGGCAATGAGATTGCTTTAGAACTTCATTACACTTCCTTATTCAAGGGCAGAAGGAACGTGGGGAGCTGCCCTTTTTTCAGACCCCCGCCCCCCCGCCAGTGCATATGGTGGGCCCCCTGGTTGCCCCCACAGGGAACACACATCATCAACAGGTAATAAGAATGTCTGGACTAATGAGGAAGGTATGGACGAAAGGAAACCGAGGTCTGTGGTATTCCTGGGGTCTTCTGAGAGACATCAGGGAGTAACGAGCGTGGAATTCACAGTTTGAGATGTCTGAGTTTGGGTCCCAGTTCCACCACTGTTTCTGTGACATCGCTGGTTCATTCTAGAGGCCCTGAGGGAGGATCTGTTCACTCCTTTCTCAGCTTCTGGTGGTTACTCACAGTCCCTGCCACCCACCTCTCTGCCTGCATCTCCACATGGTGCTCCTCTCTTAATACTTCTGTATTGCAGCTCTCTCACTAGGATTGGACTTTGGGTCCACCCTAAATCCAGGTTGATTTCATTTTGAAGTCCTTAGCTAATCACCTCTGCCAAAACTCTACTTCTGAAAGTCAGCTTCTGGAGACCTGGTGGACATAAACTTATGGGAAACAATGTTCAACCGGTACAGCCCAGCTAAGGGAGGCAGTGGAAGGGAGGGTGTGACAGTGGCCTGCTGTCTACTGGCAGCTTTTAGACTCCTGGGGGAGCCCTGATATTAGGACCACCAAGCCGTGGAGTCTGCACTATGCCAAAGACACCCAGGTGGTAGTGGCTGGTAAATGGAGTTGAACTACACAGCTGATGTATGTAGATTAATATTTACCCTGTGAAAAACTGGTTGCCTTCTAGCTTTTGGATCCAGCTATCAAATCCTAGAAGGGCCCCAGAATGCAACAGTCCTGAAGGGCTCGGAGGCTCGCTTCAACTGCACCGTGTCCTCAGGCTGGAAGCTCATCATGTGGGCTCTCAAAGGCACAGTGGTCCTGAGCATCACACCCCGGGAGCCCATCATCACCAACGACCGCTTCACCTCTGCCAGTTATGACCTGGATGGGAACTTCATCTCCGAGATGGTCATCCACGACGTGCAGCCCAGCGACTCGGGGCCCGTGAGATGCAGCCTCCAGAACAGCGACCTGGCCGGATCCGCTTTCCTCTCCGTCCAAGGTTCGTACGCGGAAGGCTCCAGAGCACAGAATGGAGTCTGGTGGCGAAGGGTCAGCGGGCTGGAGGGGACCTTGCGAAGTGCGTGCCGACTGTGACAGCACACGTGTCCTGCCTTCAGTCAGGGTTACGCTTACGGCGCCTCCGAACGGGCAGATGTTTTACTGTTCGTCACCTCCACGCTCTGACTCCTTCTTTTCTTTCTTCCTCTTTTCCCTCCCTCTCCTGTCTTCATGTGCACGCCAGCTGCTGTTTGCAATATATTTAGACTCACTCTGTACAGCATTCATTGTTTGTGTCTAACCTCCCTCCCTTACTCCCTTTCTTCCTTCTTTTCTTCTTCTTTCCCTTTGTACTTTTATTTCTTCTTTACCTTTTTTTCCCTTAAGACTTTTAAAGATGAGCCTGGTGTGATGGCGCACGCCTGTAATCCCAGCACTCAGGAGGCTGAGGCAGGAGGATTTCTGTGAGTCTGAGACCAGCCTGGGCTACATAGTGAGCTGCAGGTCGGTCTCAACTGCATAGTGAGAGGGCCTGGGGATTTAGCTCAGTGGTTCTGCTGCCTGCCTCACAAGCATAAGGTCCTGAGTTCTGTTCCCAATATCAAAAAAAAAAACAAAAAACAAAACCAAAACACACACACACACAAACCCCACAAAAAACCAAAAACAACTATACAGTGAGAGCTTGTCTCAAAAACAAAAACAAAAAACACACCTTTAAAGATGGTTTTTATCAACCCTCTCCCATCTAATCCATTTCAACACTTCCTAGCTTTCTGAAAATATACCCTGGGGTTCTTCTGGTCCAGTTGAAGTCACTTGCCTCTGATTTGGATTACTGGCCCTGCTCTAGTCTTTTATATGCTTGACTGTATTTCTTTGTATACATTATTTGTCACCTTTGAAGCTGCTTTAACCTTTTTTTTCCTCTTCTTTGCTGAAGTTCCCCCAAACTCTTTCTCCTTTCCTCACTATAGTGGTTATTATAGTCGGTGATTTGTTATAACCAAATATACCAGGTCTTTGAGAGAAAAGAAAAATGGTAAACAAAATCTACAATGAATGTTTTTTATTCTTAGATCCCTATGAAAGTATTTCTTACAGAAAAACCACACTATATCTTTGAAAATTTTCTTATATTTGTTTACATACCTTGAAGAAATTCTCGAAGATTCTGTCTACATATTAGTTACTGTCAGATCAGATTTGACACCATTCTGTGGAAAGACATATCCATTTCTAGCTGCATTTCAAAATAATTTTAGTTAAATTGGTGGCCTTTTCTTCTTGTATCTTTAATTTTGTGTGGTTTAATGAGGGGCACAATGATATTTTCTAAATGAGTGATTTTGTGAGGCTGCCCAGGGCCATTGCCCAGGTGTGCATGGCCGGTTGCTCGTGATGAGCTCTTGGGGTATGAGGGAAAGAATACAGGACGAGAAATCAAAGACACGAATTCCAGTTTTGCTGTCACCAGCTATTTTCTAGCAACATTCCCTTAGTGGCTCAATTTCTTCATCTTTAAAACAGGATAAAGCTTCCCTGGCCCCCTCACAGGCTCGCTGTGGGACCAGATGGAAAAACGACTGAGGTTTTTTTCATTTGAAGACTCCAAAGTCTTGTCCCATGAAGCTTAGCGCACATAAAGTGAGGAGCCAGACTGGCCCCGTGCTTGGCTGTGCACACGTGGGATCCCGGCTGCCTGGGCTCAGGTTCTGGCTTTACCATCCACAAACGGTGTGACCGTGGGCACAGAGCTTAACGGCTTTGTGCTTAGTTCCCTCATCACAGGGCTGTTGTGGCATCAAATGTGCAGGTCTGTGGAAAGCCTTTTAGGGCCTGCCAGGTTCATAGTCATTATCTTGTGATCATTTGCTAGTTCTTGTGTCTCTAAAAAAGGCATTCACGTGGAATGCGGAGGAAGGTTCTCCTGGTCTCCGGAACCTAATGAGGAGAAGAGTAGATATTGCAAGTTGCCAAGTGACACAGGGGCAGCGCAGATGTTGGCAGGTGCCAGGGCAGGGAGATGGGCCCAGGTCCCGGGAGGGAAGGCGGTGACTGTCAGCCGGCCTCAGGACGCCGCCATAGAGAAGGTGGCATCTGTGATGAACCTCACGGTTTTGCGGAATGGGGAGCGGGAGGAGGTGGGCGTGGACCAGCGGCACAGCGTGAAAGCACAGCTTACTGTTGCTGGACTCGTGGCACAGCGGATCCCCAAGTCCGTGGGGCTCTGTATCACCTCTCCCCAAAGCCACGCGTCTGCACATCCGTCTGAGCACCTCACGTGCATTTTCATGTGTTGCTAATTCCTGTCGTTTGGGGCTTTAATACAGATGGAGAAACAAGAGTCTGTGGGTCAGAGCCCCTCGTTCCCTTGGGGAAGGGACCCACAGAGCTGTCCCAGGACCTTGTCAGCTCCCCCGATTCTGTTGATCTGAATGGCTTTGTCGTTAGATGAACCAGTGCTTTCTTTCGCTCCCTGATGTACAGTTCTCCACATTTTTAAAATTGATTTCTTCTCCCTTCCTTCCTTTCCCCAGTCTCCCCCTCTTGTTCCCCGTCCCATGTGAACGTTTTCTATTTCCCAATATCTGTTACACATTTTAGTTCTTATTTATCCTTTCTGTTTCTCACACCAGCAAACGACGCAATATTTAACTATAAGTGTCTGATTTATTTCACTTAAGATTAAGGTCTCAAGGTGCATCCTTTTGCTACAGTTGTCACAAGCTTATCCTTCTTTATGGCAGAGTAGTGCTCCACTGCGTACTTTTTAAAAACCCACATCTTCTTTATCCATTCATAGGTTGATGGGCATTTGGACTGTTTCCAAGATTTGGCCATGACATACACACTGTGCTGCTACAACCGTGGGTGTACGTACGTCACTGTGCTATGATGCTTTTAACTCTTTTGGGAAGATACCAAGAAGGGTAATAATAGCTGGGTCAAATGGAACCTATAGCTTTAGTTGTTTGAGGAATCTCCACACTGATTTGCACAGTGGTTGTACCAGTCTAGACTCCCACCAACAGTGGAGCAGGGTTCCTTTTCCCCACAGCCCACCAGCATTTGCTATTGGTTGATTTCTTGATAGCAGCCTTTCTTTCTGGGGTGAGGTGGAATCTCAGTGTTGTTTTAATGTGCATCTCGCGAATGACCACTGATGCCGAACATTTTTTTGTATACTTATTTTCCTTTCATACTTTTTCATCTGAGAAGTTCATTTCAGATGCTCATTTTTAGGTTCGGTCTTTAAATTTGGGAGGTCTGCTTTTTTTGGTTCTTTATATGTTCTAGATATTAATCCTTTGAGGAACAGCTGGCAAAAAATTTTTTGAACTCTGTGGGTTCTCTCTTCCCTCTGTTAGTGGTTTCACTTGCTGTGCAAGTGCTTTTTAATAAGGTGAGATCCCCGTTGTTGATTCTTTGTGATATTTCTATGTGATCGGGGTTTTGCTCACAAAATCTCTGTCTATACCAGTATCTTCAACAGTTGTACCTGTTCTCTCTTCCAGCAAAGTTAATGTTTCTGCTTTAAAATTTAGATCTTCCATTCATTTCAATTTCAGTTTAGTGCATGGGTGAAAGATATGGATCTAGTTTGAATCTTCAGTATGAGGAAGTCCAGTTTTTCCAGCACCATTTATGAAAGAGGCTATCTTCCTTCTAGTGAGGGTGTTTATCTCCTTTGTCAAAGATAAGGTGGTTGAGTGTGTTTGGAGTTGTTTCTGTATCATGTAATCTGTTCCGCTGATCCTAAGGTCTATTTATTTTGCTTGTGGACTTTTTTTTTTTTTTTGCTAGTACCATGTTGTTTGGGTTTTTTAAATTATTAACTTTATTGGTACATTTTAGGTATACAATATAATGACATTCTTCATTGGGAATTTGCACCTTCATGTAATCTGTCTGGGTAATACCATGTTTTTAATCACAGTAGCTTTGTAGTATCATTTCAAGTCAGGGGATTGTGATGCCCCCTGCCTTGCCTTTGTTGCTCAGAATCGCTTTTGCTACTCTAGGTCCTTCTGATTCCAAGTGAATTTTAGGATTGCTTTCTCTAATGTTGTGATATATACTATTGGTATTTTAATTGTAATTGCATTTAATCTGTATAATAATTTTAGAACAATGGCCATTTTCAATATATTGGTTCTTCCCATCCAAGAACAAGGGATATCTTTCCATTTTCTGATATCTTCTTCAATCTCCTTTTTCAGGATAGTGTAACTTTCAATGTAAAAATCTTCTACTTCTTTTGTGAGATTGATTCTTAGGTATTTCATTTTGTGGCATGCTATTGTTAAAGGCATTGTTTCCCTAATTTCTCTCTTAGGGAGTTTGCTATTTGTGTACAGAAATGCTATTGATTTTTGAGTGTTGACTTTGTACCCAGCTATGCCCCTGAGTTTGGTTATTAAATCTAGAAGTCTTTTGGTGAATCATTTTTAAACAGAGTATATGTCATGCTTCTGGAAAACCTCTGTGAAAATCAGCAGGGAAAAGTTGAATCCCAAGTATATGAAGAAGAAAAAGACAGATTCAAGTTGCTATGTGGACCTGCTGTTGTCCAGTCTACCAGTTAATCCCAGCCAAATTCAAGACCTTTTGTGTTTTGAGGGTCACAAGAACCTGAGTCCAAGGACTTCTATTACTGTCTAAAGACATGCCATTTCTCACAGTCTGTCATCTTACATCCCCTCTCCATCAAACAAGACAAAACAATGGACAACAAAAGAACAAGCACAAGGCCTTTTAGAACAAGGGGACAAATCCTTTCCACGTTCATTGTTGCATTTACAACCACCCTTGAATTAGCAAAGATGTCTGACGAAGAATGTTCTGGAAGGGAGTGATTGGAAGCCTAACATTTTAGAGTAAAGCAATCTAGCAGAGCTGATCTAGTTCCATATGGTCTGCCCCCTGCTCACTGAATGACCCCGGGTCCTTCCCAGCCGGTCTGTGAAGATACAGCTGCTTTTATCTTGCCAAGATGGCAGTTGCCCTTTTCACTTTATTCTCACCAGTGCACAGAAGAGCTTTCCCACTGTACCCTGGAGTGTCTACACCCACCCCGCTCGGGACCAGCATTTCCCCAGTGATTGAACCATAGCAACAAAGCATGGAACGTAGGAGACCCAAAGTGCCAGGCAGAGTAGTGGATTTTAGTGTAAGACAGGATGAAACTTCCTTGATCTAGTTTCAGGTTCCACGATCCAAGTGACCTTTGAGAAACCACTACTTAAGAAAAAGAGGAAAGAAAGAAACCACTACTTTGTTGAGTTTTGATACGGTGTTGAAGCCTAGCCACCGTTTATCCAAAGGACTATTAAATATTCTTCACTGCGCCACTGTTCCTGTGTGGAATCAGTTTCTTTGTACCCTTCGCACAAAGCCATCTGTTGCAAGAAACAGATATGAGGGCCGCCAGGGATTTAGCTCAGTGGTTCCTTTGCCTGCTTTGCAAGCGTAAGGTCCAAAGTTCCATTCTGGGGGTGGGGGTGGGGAGAAACAGATATGACAACCAAGGGAGACATCATAGGGTCGTTGCACACATATGAAATGCTGTCACTCTTCATTTTTCTTGGCTTTAAAATATATAATTTTTTAAATGAGAATATGTTGTCTACACTAACATGTAATAGGTCATTACTTTTAGATAAATACTTAAAAATAAATACTTCATTGCAATTTAAGATGTAGTGTTAAGAGAAACAGCTATGTAAATGAAAAGTCTTTGGAGTCTTCAGTAATTTTAAAAAGCATAAAAGATACTGAAACCAGAATGTTTGAGAAACAGTGATCAAGCAAATTCTTTCACTGATAGGCGCAAAACAGAGAATTCCAAAGTTCCAGTTCTTGCCCAGGGTGGTGACAACTTGGTGGCAGTGTCAGGACTGAGAAGAGTTTTTGATCCCTACTGCAGTGTTCCTCACGCTGTATTTTACAGCTGGAAGTTTTAGTGTGTGTTGGTTTGAACATTTCAGTGCCTATACATTTCTCTAAGGCTGTGTCTTTACCAGAGCCCACCCTCAGGTTATTTTTAGCAAAATCAAGCAAAGTAATAATATGCAAATAATATGGACTATTCTTAAAAGGCATGGCATTCGGATTCTTAACACACATCATTTATCTGAGTAAATTATTCTCATACATGATTGGGTTCGCTATTTCTGCAATTATATTTCATTTGATTTTGGTGTTATTTATAAATCGAAACACATTTTACAGACAGTGTTGAAACAGTTCTGTTTAAATAATTTGTGACTTCAAAAATAAATAAAGTAAACCACACACCCAAACTGCAGGAGAGAGTTCTCCCCAGGACACTCTGGGATATGTTCTCCTTACTTTGAAAGGAGTATGAAGGCCGAGCACGGTGGCGCACATCTGTAATCCTAGCACTCGGGAGGCTGAGGCAGGAGGATCGCTGTGAGTTCGAGACCAGCCTGGGCTACATAGTGAATTTCACGTCAGCCTCAACTACATGGTGAGACCCTGTCTCAAAAAACTGAAAAAGAAAAAACGAAAGGGGTATGAAGATTGTTGCCCCTTTTTCTTTTGTTCCCAGGGCAGCTCAACATTTCTGTGGCTCTGTTTCAGTGACTGTGCAGCCTCCCGTGGCACATGCATGTGCCTTTTCTTTCCCTTTATTTATTACCGCTGGTTCCTGAGTTTTATGTATTCATTGTCTCTGTAATAAGATATTTTCTTAAGAGCAATCGCATCTTCTTCTGAGAGCCAGGTCTAAAAAAGACACAGATAAAACCCAAGTTGAGGATCTCTGGGACAGACACAGCCTTTTGGGGTTGGGAAGAAAGTCTCGTGTGAATTGAAGCAAAAGCTGAAAACAAAAGTCGTAGAACCTGGATTCCCTGTCAGCTCTCGGTCATTTCTCTCTTCTCTCCTTTAGTTGTGGGCTCCTTGCACATCCTCGGTGACAGTCTGGTAGTTACTGAGGATGAACCTTGTAATATCACTTGCCAAGCGCTGGGCTGGACCCCGGCCCCGGATATGACCTGGGAGCTCGGTGTCCCCGCGAGCCATTCCAGCTACTCCTCCTTTCTGGAGCCTGGCGACCTTCCACGTGCGGTGAGCGTCCTGGCTCTCACGCCGCAGGGCGACGGGACGCTGACTTGTGTGGCCAAGCTGAAGGGTCTGCAGGCCAGCAAGTCCGTAACTGTAAACCTTACTGTGGTTCAGCCTCCACCAGGTAAGTGAAGCCCCTCTGCTTAGTCCTTGGTCCATTTGTTATTTTGAGACAGAATCTTGCTAAGTGGCTGGGTTACCTAGACTTGGCTTGAACTCTTGATCCCCTCCCTCAGCCTGTCACAGTTCTGGGATTACAGATGTGTATGTGCTTCCATGCCCAGATGTTTCATTTTTTTACCCAGAAAATCCACAATGCAAGGTCTCTATATTGTTTAACTTGACTAAGGGGCATAATTTTGAAGTTTAGATCCTCTGGGAGGATCTACTTTGTGGTGTACTAAACGCCCCAGCTGCTTCCTCTGAAGCACTCTGCAGAGCTGTGATCTCCGTATTTACTAGGACAGTGGGTATGAGATGGGGTGGGTGGGTGTGGTCAGGCCTGATGATTTACTTTTGTAAAGAAATTTTGCAAAAGAAGCGAGGCGTGGAGGCGTGTCATGCTTTAATCAAGGGCTTAGGTCTGGATGGGAAGATGGAGCCTAGAAGCTAAGAGATTTTCTCTTGAACCAAGCTTTTCCTGTTATGAAATGACCACTACTGAAGCTCTTTTGAAGTTCAGAACAAAGCTATACACAAAGCAAAGTAATAATAATAGTAAATAGCACTTACCAAGTACCAGGCCCTGTGTTACGCACTTCTGAAATAGTAAGCAGATTAACCCGCACAGCACCCAGGAGGGGCCCTGTTACCAGGAGGCAACTCAAAGGGGCAATACTGCCTGGACTCACCCACGTCTGTGGAGACAGTGGACGGCGGGTCTGCTCCCTGCTCCATGCCACTGCCCACGTGTGAGCAGGTGCTTGGAGAGGGGCTGCTGTAGCCCAGGACCACAGACCAGGGCTGGAATGACAGAAATGCACTGTCCCGCAGCTCTGGAGCCTGGCAAGTCTGAGGTCCAGGGGCCGGCAGGGCGAGTTCCTCCTGCTGTGGAGGATGAGGGGGAATCTGTTCCTGGCCGCTCCCCTCGTTTCTGGCAGTTGCTGGCAATCTGTGCTACTCCTTGGCGCTAGCAGCATCACCTGTCCTCTGCCTCCGTCTCCACGTGGCGTGGTCCCTGTGTGTGTGTCCAGACTTCCCTTGTGTCCTAAGCACTACAGTCGTATTGAATCAGAGGCCACCTACTCCAGTATGGCCTCGTCTTGGCTTCTAGCTGCAGTGATTCTGCTTCCAAAGAAGGTCGCAGTCTGAGGTATTGGGGATCAGGACTTCAGCATGTGAGCGTTTTAGGGGTATGGTTCAGCTCATAACAGGGTGTCTCTGTGAACCCACAGAAAGCTGTTCTGAGTTTAACCTATGTAAACACCCATGATCCTGCACTTTGCACTGTATAGATTGATCCCCAATCCAGCATATGCTTGCTCCCTTGGTTTACAGCCCTGATATTGACTCCAGCTCAGATCTGCCCAGAGACCAGGCGGACAACAGAAAGAATCACATGAGTGAATACATGCAGCGGGTGAAAGATGGAGTGGTGGGGCTGGGGAGAGCCAGCATGTCACATTTTCTCCACTGGAGCAACTGACCCCAGCTCCAGCTGACCTTTGCTGAGGGAATGTGGACCCAGCACTGTTATCTCCCCGAGTTTTCCATGATCAGGTAGAAATCTGGAATTTTATGTGAACTTACCTAACTTTTGAATATTGGCAGATAATTAAAATGTTTTATAACTCTGTAGACCAAACTACAAAGAAGACAGAATGGGTCTGGAACTGCCAAACCCCACTATAGTCTCTGCTATAAAACAGGCCCACACTTAGCCATTTTTAGGTTTGTGGGAACAGGTAAATGTCACTGCAGAGTCAAAATTGATCTCCAAGAGAAAGAATCCACAACCCTCCCCCAAATTCCAAGGAGTCAGAGTCAAGTACAAGGATCTCTACCCTTCCTGCTCATCTAGAGAGCTCTGGGAGGCCCTTGCTGTCGAGTTTTGAGGAGCAGTCAACACCCAGGGCAGCAGTCACCTCTTCTGCTTACTTCCTGAGAACACGTTCCAGTGTCTGGGCCGGAAGTGACCTGTGGGATGGCTGCCCCAGGGTGCTCAAAGCTGGTTCTGGTCAAAGTCAGTGTTTTGGGGGTAGGCACTGTTTTCATGCTGTGCTGTTTTGAGTCCAAGTCAAGGCTAATTTATCCTGTCATGCTTAATTCAAAGAAATCTAGCTCATTCCCTGCCAAGCTTGTATATAAAGATGAAGCTAGAATGCAGGCCTAGCCTATGTATCTTTCTCCAGCTTTTTTCTGGACAATTTAAAGCCTTACACATCTGCAAGCACAGTATAGTGAATACCCTGTGTCTTCACCTATGTGCACTAAACATTCACATCCCATCACACTTGTCTCTCTCTCTCTCTCTTTCCCTCAGCTTTTATCCCTGGATAATTTGAGAGCTAGTTAGAGGCCTTATGACACTTCACCCCTAAATACCCGAGCCTGCACATCATAAGCACAAGGCCATTCTAGCACAGAACCGTAATATGGTGGGCAATCAGGAAATTTAATATCCACATGATACTGTACAGCCCATATCCAGGTTTTCCCATTTTCCCTAATAATGTCTGTTACAGCTGCCGCCCCCCTCCCCATCCAGCATTGCCTTTGGCTGCCAGGTCTTGGCCTTTAAATTCCAAAGGCTCTCTGTCCTTTTTGTCCCTCCTGATCTAAACAAGTTTGAAGGGCCCAGCCCATACCTGCAGGATGTAGTGATTTCCGTGAGAAATGCATTTCCGTGACAGGTGGCGATTTGGGGCCACAGAAGGGCGGTGGGGTGAGTGCTGGGCTTCTGCTCTGTACTATGACGTGACCCTGGGATTGTCACTGACGTTGGGGGCTCTTGTTTTCTCACCTGTGTAATGGGCAGGAGAACAGAGCAGTGCTCTCTCCTCACTGTGTGCCAGAGCCTGCAAAGGACCCAGAATGCAGACCCCGAGGCTCAGCTCCTTCCTTAAATCGCTGAGTGAATTGATCTTCTCAGAACTTGGGAATTTCAATTTTTTAAAAAGTCTTCAAATTACTGGTTTGGGGGCAACAGGTTCAAAAATGTTTGGAAGGCTCACCTTCCAACCTGGCCTCATCTGGTGCTACTATCCACGCAGACCCAGGCACCGGACAGCTCACTCACTAGCTGAGTGACTTCCAGTAAACTGCTTAACCTGAGCCTCAGTTTTAGCCTCTAAGAAACTCATGTAATAATAGTGCCTGCTTTGCAGAGCTGTTGTGTGTGGAGGAAGAAAGCAGGTTGAAATACACGAAGTGCTTAGGGCTATCTCTGCACAGAGCCCACAGGACAGGGGCGTAAACAGCTCCCACTGTATTTCATTGATTCTGAAGCCTCCTGTACCCCTTTTTGCACAGGAACAAGCTTCGCACACACCAGTGGTGACATTTGTGCTAATGCAGTTGGTTTCAAGGGGTCCCATGCACCCTGTGCAACCGCTCCTGTCTTCAAGAGCACCTGGAAATCTTGTTCTCCTTTGCGTCCCAGCTGGAGGAGAACAGTCTCAGGCTGAGGTTAGAGCACACAGTGCAGACAGGAACTCCTCACCGGGAGGGCAGGGGGCGGAGGAAGAACACAGTGTGACCTTGGTGATGGCCTTCCTTAGTCACAGTCCTGCATCCCCACCCTCCTGAAGACAGATTGGTTTCATGTAAGACCAGAAGGTAACTGTGCCCCAGAGTCAGTCCACGTCGGACCCGAAGCGTGGCGGAGTGCGGGGGCAGATGGGGGGGGACCTGGGCTTTCCTGTGTGAAGCGCCCTGGGGTCGACGTGGCACTCGGCCCTGCTGTGCAATCTGCCCGGTGGAAGGATGGGGCTATGGAGGATGTCATTCCTGTATTTCATTTTCTGTTCACCATTATATATTTTGGGGGTTATTTTATTTTTGTTTTTGCTTTGTACCGGAGATTGAACTCAGGACCTTGTGCTTGTGAGGCAGGCGGTGGCACCACTGAGCTGTACCCGTGGTCCCACCATCATATATTTTGGATTTATCAATATATGCTATTATTTATTGTTTTCAATCCACCATAAATGCACTCATTTAAAAAATAGTCTTATGTGAAGCAAAAATATCCATGGTATACACACACACACACACACAAATACATACATACACACACACACAAATACATACATACACACACACACACACACATATATATATATATATATATGCATGATGCATGTGTGACATGTATGCCCATACTATATGATAAATTAGCTGGATGTGGTGGTGTCTGTCTGTAATCAGCCTCCTGGGAGGCTGAAGCAGGAGGATCACAGTCTTATGCATAACCCAGGCAACTCACTGACTTACCTCCCCAGATTAGAGGCAGACTGAAGCTTCAGGCTGTCCTGGTGTGAAACTGGAAGGTTGGACTGTCGGTGCAGTGCGGACAAAACAGATGGGAAGCCAAAAGAGCAGGCAACATGGCTCCTGGTGCCAGCTGCCACTTCCATCAGAGGCCAGCGGGCTGTTAGGTGAGGACAGTTGTCAGTGCTGACATCGGTGGCTGCAGTAAGGAAGGGGGGAGTGGGAATGCCACGGTGTAGCTCCTTCCCTCCCAGGACTCAGTCACTGGCCTGCTGGGCCAAGGCAAGGCCGTGAGTCCCGACTGGGGGACAGAGGCTGGAGCACGGGGAAGGAAAGGCCACTGGCAGGGAGTGTGAGTCAGTTAACGAGGTTGCCGTCAGGCTCCACGAGCCGTCAAGCCTGGCCCCACCTCCTGGGCCAGGCCGGCTCCCTTACTGTGAAAACGTGTAGTATCTGCCAACTTCGGCCCGTGCGAGCCCGGCAGAGTGGACGCGGGGTGACCCTGCCATCCCGACACACGCCTCGTGCTGCACAGTCCCCTTTCACTGTCACACACATCTCCTGCATCTGCCCAGCCGGGTAGAGCGAGAGTTGCTGGGGCGATCTGGAGGCCAGAGGTACCAAGGAAGCTGAGCAGGGCCTCGAGAGGGGCTGGTTCCTCGACAGGAAGCCTACAGCGCCTCTCAGTTCCAAGGCCCTCACACAGTTGTCTCGTTCCAGCTCCAGGTCGGCCTGGGTGCAGTTCTGGATTTATTTAATGATCGCATCTGTGGGAGAGGACCCTACACTTGGGGGCCTTTGCTTGGGAAGTGTGTTCCCGCTGCACACTGGACATTCTCCGGCCACCTGCACTCCAGTCACTTGGGGCGCAGTTCTGGACCCCTCCACTTTGCATTCCTGGAGATGGGCTTTGAATTCGCTTGTGCCACAAACTTTCCAGGGGATGCTCCAGATTCTGCTGGCTGTGGAGCAACAAGGCAGGCTTGCTTTCTAGAAAAAAAACAGCCTGGCTGTGTCCCCTTCTGGGCCTGGAGGTGCACAGTGGGAAGGATGTAATTCTGTCTCCTCTGTCTTAGCACTTCCCTTTTCTGTAGGACACAATACTCAGCACCCACAACTTAAAGGAGGGGAGGTTTATTTTGACTCACATTTTCCATCCATGGTCTGCTGGCTCCAAGGCACAAATAATTTGGTAGAAGAGACTCCCGCGGAGGACAGCTGCTCACATCAGGCTGGTCAGGAAGCAGAGAAAGAAAGGAGCTAGGGAGGGAGATGCACCCTTCGAGGCCACACCCCCAGGGACCCACCTCCAGCCAGGCTCCGCCTCCTAACAGCGGGTCAGCAACTGAACTCATCAAAGATGAATACAGCACCCCCAGATCCAATCACCTGCTAGAAACCCCGCCTCTGAACACATAAGGTCTTTGGGAGACGCCCCAGATCTAAATCATAACGGTCTTCCCATCACGTTTTCTGAGGAATCCCTCTTCCTGTCTATCCCAGCTCATCTCAGGAAGGCGGTGAGTGAGGTGGAGGTAACACTACTGCTCCAGGCATCTTAGTATGGTGAGGGAGGTGAGTTCTAGGCCTGGCTTAGCTGTAGCTCACTGATGGTGTATGGACTTCTCTAGGTAAAGGCAGAAGGGAACGCAGCTTCTCAGTGAGTCCGTCATTCCACCCACCCACTCATCCGTCCACCCACCCACCCTCCCACCTACCTATCCATCCATCTATCCATCCATCCACCCACCCACGCACCCACCCATCATACCTAACATGCTCCCAGGCATAAATGAGCATCTTGAACCATTCCTTCTACTGATTCTGAGCATTTAACCTTGACTTAGGAAGAGATAGCTACATTCGAAAAGTCCATTTCAAGGAAATCTCTAAGAAGGGGCATGCATCCAAGGTGACCTTTCAGCAGTAACCTCTGGTTCTGAAGCTCTGGGTGACCCTTGTATTCAGAGTAAACTTGTGTTCCTTCATAGGAGGTCTATTGTTTTAATATTTTCTAATGATTAGAATCCAGTAAAATAGCAGACATTAATATTGAGATGTCACCTGTGCATTGAGAGTTGAGTGGCAGACTTTAGTTAAATAGGAGTTCATGGGTTAAGCAGCTCACCTTATATGCTGTGACTTGGCTTCTATACGGTTGAGAAGGGAAAAATGAAATACAGGCGAGTGATCTTGTGGGAGTCACTCATGTGGTTCCCACAAGTCAATGGCTGGGCTGAGCTGTCCAGTAGGACTCTCTGTGGTGGTAGAAATGTCTGCTGTGGTGATTGAACACTTGAAATGTGGACAGCACGGCCTAGGCATTGAATACTTAATTGCACATTCTTTTAATTAATTTAAGTTTGAATTTAGATAACCACACACAATCAGTATTGGAGAGCTCTAAGACATGCAGCAAAAAAAAATCAAAAGGGCTTTTTCTTCTCTAGTTCCTTTCTTCCCACTTCCCTTAATTTCCTCCCTGCTGTGCCTCACCTCGCCTTCTTCTTCTCCCAACTCCACCACTACCACATAAAACAAGAAAGTAAAGCAGACACTAAAGAGGGTGGTTCCTGAAGAGTTACGGAAGCAACTAGTGCATGAGAAATAAATTCTGTGGTGGAATAGGAATGGGATTACTGTGAAAAGCTATGCTCCCAAATTCCTTGAGAAGTGACCTTTCCTCATTGTGTCCGGATTTCCTTTGGGCTCTGGAATCCCAAAGGATATGAAAGTGGAAAACAGAAGCAAGTATCATTCTCCAGTTTTGTTCAGCAGCAGCTAATAGTTATTTCTTGACTGAACAAAGGTTATCTCAGCACAATAGGCACTTCTCCAACCCTAGGAAGTTGGTATCATGGCCCAACTTTATCTACCTCTCAGGAATGTTGGTGGCAGTAACTGATTACTGCTTGTATTGAGTTGCTAAGCAATTATATATTGGCAGCAATAAATATTCTGATGGAAGTTATTGTAGAGTATTTAATTAACACACCAAAGGGAAGTTGGCCTATGGCTCCTAACTGTGGCAGGCTGAATAGTTATATTATTGGAAAACAAATGCAATTTAAAGTGGTAGAAGCCATGATCCTAGATGGTGCAAATATCACTAAAATATTTTTTTCTCCTTTTAACCTTATAGACAGTATTGATAAGCCAAGTACTTCATTGCCTACCTGGGCCATAGTTCTACTTGCAGTATCACTTTCATTGCTTTTGATCCTGATCATTGTTCTGATTATAATATTCTGCTGCTGTTGTGTCTCCGAGAAAGAGAAAAAAGGTAATTTTTCCATGTAAATTTATGTGTGGTTGTGAACTCTGGGTACAAGCAGTTGAAGTCATCAACTCTTTCAAAAGATATCGCCTCACACCTGTTAGAATGACTGTTATCAAAAAGACAGAAGACAGGTGTTGACAAGGGGTGTGAAGAAAAGGGAACTCTTGTACACTGGGCTAGGAACGTAAATATGTACAGCCATTTTGGAAAAACACTGTGGAGGCTTTAAAAATTTAAAAAAGTACTAGCATGTGACCCAGTGATCCACTCCTGGGTATATATCCAAAGAAAATGAAACCAGCAAGTCAAAGAGACATCTGGACTCCCGTGTCCCTGGCAGCGTTACTCGCAATAGCTAACGAGTAGAAACAATCCAAGTGGCCATCAACTGGTGAATGGGTAAAGAAAGTTTGAGATATCTGTACACAGATGGAATAGTGTGCAGCCTTCAAGAGTGCGGAAACTGTCAACTGAGACACCACATGAGGTAAAATACGCCAGCCACAGAAAGACAGGAGTGGCATGGTCTCACCCACATGTGGAGTCCATAAAAGTTGAACTTACTGCAACTCAGTGGAGTGGTGGTGGTCAGGGGTGGATTGGAGGAGCTGGGGAGGTGTGGGTCGAAAAATGAGCTTAGGCAGGGTGAATAAATCAGCTCTGGAGATTCACTGTACCCCGATGAGTGCAGTCACAAGGCAGTGTGCAGTTCAAGTTGTTCAACATTCTCACCATAAAAAGTAATTAAATACGGGAAGGGCTGCCCGTGTTAGATGGGTTTAATAATTTCACCACACATACATGTATTGAAACACTGTGTAATTTTTATTTGGAAGTTATACCTTTCTAAAGCTGGGGATATAACAGCAAGGACAAAACAAAACCGAAAACAAAGGAGGAGATATTGGCTTTCCACGTATTTGCAAACAGCTGCAGACAAATTCATGGAGAAGGGGGAAGGCTGCCTGAGGGAGGGAGCTGTCCCCTTGGGTCTGTTGCATCCTTGCCAGGCAGTGAGACCTTCTTACTTTAGAGAAGGTGGCGAGGTGGCATCTTTCTCACCAAAGATGCTGATTACTTGGTTTGTGTGTTTCTTTGCAAGGATGAGTGACTATTGTAAAGTGTCATTTAAATGCAGTTTTTTTTTTCTAGAATCATAACCACTCAAGCACATCAGAAGGTTGTTTCTGTCCTGTGGAGTTCTAAGTTGCCTTTTGCAAGTGAATGTTCATCTAGTGGCAGAAAGAAAAATACGTTTTTCTGTTCGTAAAAAAAAAAAAAAAGAGTACAACTGAAGTTAATAAAATCAAACTTCCTTTGAGCAGGGTCTCCTGAACACACCCGACTGTGTGGGACCCCTTTCTTGGGGTCAGGATCAAGAGTGGGCTGGTCACGGAGTGTGGCAGTCATGACTTCAGAGCCAAGTTTGCAGACTTTCTAAGTGCTGGATGCACGTCTGCCTTTATCTTGCTCTCTTCTACTCCTATTTGAGTATTTTCTGCGGTTCATTATTTTTCTTAAGAGTGGAGGTTGGACGTTTGAGTATGTCAGGTGGCTTGCATTTTTAACTTATTAGCTGAACTGCCATCCAGTGAAGAGGGTGATGGTCTGGCCTTACCTCCTCCGTGGATTTGGTTTGGCCTTGGGGGATTAGTTCTGTGGTACAGCTTTATTCTTTGGGACGTGAAAGTCAAAAACTAGCCAACTCCCATTGACCTAGATTAGCTGGGAGTTTGCTTTCACCTGGGAATTAACCCTGCATGCCACAGACGGGTTACTCAAATGAAGCGCACTGGGTTTTAGGTGAAAGCGATAGAAATAACTTCAGTTTGAACTGAGAAGTGAGTGGATTGTGGGTGGTTATTTTCAACATCAGCTCTTGGGGAACAGTTGGAGATGTCTGGTTCCCTGGACGTTCTGCTGCCCTGAGGCTTTGGTCTGCTCTATCCTGGCCTTGAAGGAGGTTACTTGATGGCTGTTGTCCCACACAGGTAGTCACAGGATGATTTTCAGATTTCTAATCCACAACATGGGACAAATTATTATCCTATAGATCGGTTGTGAGAATTAAATGAATTCACATATTTAAAATTTCTGTGATCTATACTCAAATTTACGTTTTAACTTTGAGATGAAGAGCCCATAGAAAGGCTAGCTGTACTCTTGCCTTTGTTTGAAACAGGTCCAGGCCAGAGCTTGAACGTGGAGGGATCTGCCGTGCATGACCTATTTAGAATGCCCGCCCCGCACCACCAGGTGTGACCCACGGTGGAAAGTACACGGAGCCTTAACATAAATGCAAAGACCCATAGAGCTCTGGATTTTCCCATGATTATTTCAGTGCTTAGAAATATGAAGCATATTTGTTTCAAAAAATATTTTCTGCTGCTCTCCTAGTTCCTGGAGAATTCTTCATGTGCCCACTGGTTAATCGAGGAGTGGGCACATGGCTGAGGGTACTACTCGGCCAGGCTTGGGGACCTTGGGGTGGCAGTGGGCAGAGGGAGGGACTTAATGGAGGGAGGTTAACTTTGGCTCGTGGTTTCAGAGATCTCAGTCCATGGTGGGCTGGCTCCATTATTTTGCACCTCAGGTCAGGCAGAACATTTGGCGGAAGGTTGTGGGAAAGGGAAGTTTCTCAGCTCATGCCAACAAGGAAGAAGAGAGAAAAGGACCCCAGAAGGAGGGACCATATCTGGTCCCCAAGGTCTTGCCTTATGACCCACCCTCTTCAACTAGGCCCCACCTGTTTCTGTCACCGCCCAGTAATGCCACTGAATTATGATCTTATCAATGCATTAATCCACTGATGAAGTTAGAGCCTTTGTGATCCAGTCTCCTTTCGAAAGGGAACCAAGTCCTTTGAACAGGACTTTAGAGGGCACTTTAGAGGGACCTTTTATTACTTTTTTTCATTGAGTTTATTGGTACTTTTTAGGTATACAGTATGGTTACATTCATCATTGGGATCTTCTACCTTTACATGACAGGCCTTGGTTCTCATTTTTTCCTCAATACCCTTGCCCTCCCTTCATCCCCTCCACCCTTCCCTATTTACAAAGACTTTGTTTCCATTTTTTCCTTTTCTCATATGTTTTCTTTTCCCTGATTTCCTTTCCCCTACCCTTCCCACTTCCCCTACACCTTTTTAGCCTTTTTCTTCCTATTTCACATTATCAATTATACAATTTGAATTTTATTTACACTTTTAGTTTTTCATACCAGAGAAACTATTTGGTATTTACACATGTGTGTCTATTTATTTCACTTAAGAGTATGGCCTCAATATGCATCCATTTTCCTACAAATGACTCTAGTTTCTCATTCTTTATGACTGAGTAGTACTCCATTTTATAGAAAAACCACATCTTCTTTATCCAGTCCCCATTTGATGGCCAATTGGGTTGTTTCCAAGTTTTAGCTATTACAAACTGTACTACTATACACATGGGTGAGCGTATATCACTGTGGTATGATTCTTTTAATTGTTTTCAAAAGATACCCAGCAGAGGGATAGCTGGGTCAAATGGGGCCTCTAATCCTAGCTCTTTGAGGTATCTCCATATTGACTTCCCCAGTGGTTGCACCAGTCTGCACTCCCACCAACAATGGAGAAGGGTTCCTTTCTCCCCACAGCCCTGATAGCATTTGTTATTGATTTGTTGATAGCAGCCATTCTTTCTGGAGTGAGGTGGAATCTCAGTGTTGTTTTCTTCTGCATCTCTCAAATGACCAGTGATGTGGAACATTTTTTCATATATTTATTTGCTGCTTTTACTTCTTTGTCTGAAAATGTCTGTTCATTTGAGATGCCAATTTTTGAATCGGGTCTTTGTATTTGGGCACCTGATTTTTTGAGTTCTTTATATATTCTAGACAATAGTCCTTTGTCTGAAGAACAGCTGGTAAAATTTTCTTCCCACATTGTAGGTTGTCTCTTAGCTCTGTTGGTGGTTTATGTTGCAGTGCAGAAGCTTTTTAATAAGATGAGATCCCTGTTGTTGATTCTTTCTGCTACTTCCCATGTTACTGAGGATTTGTTCATAAAGTCTTTTCCTATGCCAATGTCTTTCAGAGTTCTACCTAACTTATCTTCCACAAGTTTAGTGTTTCTGTTTTAATATTTAGATCTTTAATCCACTTGGATTTTAGTTTAGTGCCTGATGAAAGATAAGGGTCTTGTTTTAATCTTTGGCAGGTTGAGATCCAGTTTTTCCAACAGTTTATTGAAGAGGCCATCTTTCCTCCACTGAGGATAGTTGGCTCCTTTGTCAAAGATGAGGTGGCTGTAGGGGGACCTTTTAAATCTAAACCATCATGTGGCAATTTACCTGTTACAACAACCTGTTACTACCCATCTTCAAATTCTAGACTCCTAGTCCGAGACTCCACTGATTAGAAACATTAGTAATTTCACGATAGATCTTTTGCGGGGAGGGGATCATATAGTACAACTTCAGGAAGCGATACTATTGGCATATAGGAAATCGAATGAAAATGTATCTTAGCCTTAAAGAAATAGGGTAATGCTAATGCAGTAGCATTTAGTCTCTTCAAATACATTGACCCCAATACCTACCACTTGTGGCAAGTAAATGAGGCCACACTGTGTACAGTTCTGGCAGGTACCAGCCCACAGCGAGACCTGAGTGAATGGCAGCCGTAACTGGTGGCACCCAGCACCTCTCCACCAGTGGGGTCTTGATAGCCTTCTAACCAAGTTCAGTAAGTACTAAGTACTTAGTACTTACTGGGTGCCCATCATCTTTCAAGTCCTGGCTGCTTGAAAGTACACACAGAGTCGCATACACTAGTGGGAGGTTTCTTACAAACAGGGAGTCAGTGAGATGTCATTTTTAGAATCGGTATCCTGATTTTTCTAATAGAATTTTGTTCTCTCTTTCTTTTTCCAGAATCTAGCTATCAAAATGAAATAAGGTAAGTTCGAAGTGACACCACTTTTTGAAGAGCAAACCACCAACATATCTGTGCGTGTTACTGTAGGGTTTTAGGGTTTCTGTTACTCAGAATGAAGCCCTGAAGATGCACAACTGCGGAGAAAACTCGGGTGCAGTTCACAGACTCACAGGGTGGCACTAACTGTAGGAGGACGTAGGGAGGTGAGGCTCTGTGCTGGCCTCTCTGGTCCCTCAGGGGATCCAGTTTTCTTAATGTCTGCTCCTCGCAGTTCATTCCGCCAGAGGGGACCGTGCCCTGTGAATGTCCTGCTTTGTGTCCAGGCTGGGGCTGGAGACACTGGCCCCAGAAGTTTTGCTGGGGCTTTGAGGACACAGAGAGCAGCGAGCTGAGTCTGAGAGACGCCCGTAAGGCACATGGCGCTGTTCAGGCAGGTTAGGGTTAGGTGGAGTCTGCTGCCTGTCCTACCTCGGGGAGGGCAGGGCTGAGGCCTCCTGCTGTCCTCTCCATCCAGCAGTTGCTGTGGGCACTTTGAAGGCCATGAGTCAGGGCTTAGAGCACCACAGGGTAACCCGTGTAATGCCTGCTGTACCTCCAGTCACAGGTGTGTAAGGGGCGGTGTTGGTTGCCTTGGGTGTTCCAGCAGCCACGTCTATCTGTGTGCTTTTCTAAATGCTGAAGTTCGACACCACCTTCGGGCTGCATGCAGTACCGTGGCCAAATGTGTAAGCAACAAGTGACAAAATACGAGGATCTCAGAGAGGCGGCCATGTTCTCAGGATCACCCAGAAGCCCCCGGGGCCGGCTCAGGGACAGGCAGGGGAGGGAAGCCCATGCAGGTGTGTGTCTGGCATTTCTCCTGATGGTGGCCACCAGCAGGCCCACAGTCACAGTTTGGATTCTTTGGTTCACCATTGTTGATGGTGCCAGTATCTGTTTCTGTCCTGTGTGTGTGTGAGTGTGTGTGTGTCTCAAGGTATTTCAAAGCTAAGTAAAGCATTTAAGTGAAGGCATTTAAGGTAACAGGTTGAGAGTGACAGCAACCTATACTGTTAGTATAGTGATGACGGTAGCCACGGTGACAGCTCATTCACTGTACATTGAGGCCTTGCTCTGTAGAGGCGTTTAATCTTACTTCATTCTTATCACCATTTTATAAGGCCGTTTTGCTGGACATTTAGCTCAGCCATTTGGTGGCCTGCCTCGCAAGCGCAAGGACCTGAGTTCAATCCCTGGTACCAAAAAAAAAAATTAAATACATAAATAAATAAATAAATAAATAAAAGGCTGTTTCTCCAGGTTGGACTTGAAAACACTGAGATGCAGGGAGGATAAATTCTTCCTTGGGTCGGGGATTTAGCTCAGTGGTGCTGGCGCCTACCTGGGAAGCACAAGGTCCTCAGTTCGATCCAGAAAACTGGAAGAAAAAAAAAACACACAGCATTTTCCTGTGGACAGTGAGGGTCAGAATGTGACCAGCAGCCCTGTTGCAGGGCAGGGGCCCCTTGTCAGTGCACAGGTTCAGCACCAGATCCCGTGTCCGTGCCTGGGGGAGATGGGGCGGCTCACGGGCTGACCATGGGCCCCCACTTTTCCCTTCCTGTGCATCCCCAGCGCTGACACCAGCCAGCACAGACATTGTTTGCATTAATAGCTTATGTGCTTCTCTTATCGAGTTGGTGCATGTTTATTATAGAAAAAATTAAACACAAAAATAGGAAGTAGGACTAAAATCGTCCAGTTTTACTGTCCAGAAGCGATGACTAAAGTATGTATGTAGTACTTAAATGTATGTGTGTTCATGGATTTACGCAGAGGCAGGCACGCATAGGTAGGCATTTAGTAAAATTTGGACTGTAATATAATTTTATAGCTTGCTCTTTTTCATTCTACACCTTTTTTTTTTTTTTTTTTTTTTTTTTTTT